ATTTTGCTTTCGATGGTGTAGCGAAGTGTTAGAAAATTATGAAAAATATATGATTTTGCATTTGTTTTTGTTTTACTTTATAGCGGCTAGACACTAATTAAAATTTTTTTTTTTATTATTTTCATGCAGTTCTAACGTCGTGAATACTTGTAAAAGAAAATCCCAATACTCAGTTGTTTTCTGAGAACAAAATCGTAAGCGGTTTATAGTTTTAAAATATTTTAAATGGATTTGGCTCACAAACGCCTTTTTAGACAGTCGGAAGTTTTAATAAATCTGTAGACAAATTTCTTAAATATATTTTGTGTCAAAATATATTCGAAAGATTACATTTAAACCCTCTTACATATTTTCTACTCCTGGCCAGTTTACCAAGCTCCCATCCTCTGACGAATCGTTGAACCAGAACTCCGTTGTACTCACTTTTACCACGTTTTTATAAACTCGCTTTCTTTTTTATTTCATTTTAATTTGCAAATGATTTCGGGGTAAAATTGTCAAAGCTCCCAATAAACTTTAAGGAAATAATGAAATCATCAAAACAATTTCAGTCCTCACATTAAAGCTAAAGGAGCATAAAGTTTGTATTGTGTTTTCTTGTTTTCGTAGACATTTGAAGAGTAGGGGTGCCGCGAAATTTTTTTAGCACAACAAGGGTGCCGAGGTGAAAAAAGGTTGGGAGCCCCTGGAATAAAGTATAAGTTTCAAATGGCTAAAGATTACGGTTGATTTTTTAGAATTTTTAAAAAAGCTCGAAATTTGTACGAAAGTTTGTTGAACTTTTTTTAATATTGCACAAAGTTGGAAACTTGAATTTACACATGGTTTTTATTTATTTTATTCAAAGTCAAGAAACAAATGTTCTTGCTGACTACTTATAAGTAAAGTACCATTATAAAAAATTGTATTTATTTAAAGTAAGAGTTTAGTTGTAACGAAAAACTCAGTTTAGAAACTGAGAGATCAAGTTCAACGGAATTAGAGATCTCGTTTAGTTCGCGAAGCGCACGAGCAATAGGGGCATTGCACGCATAGTTCGTTCGGAATCTGCATAAATAAAACGGATGGTTATTACGTAAGTGTCGAGTCGGAACAGAAAAGTTAATACTATGCAACAGATCGGAGCAGTCAGTCTCCCTAATAATAATAATACATTGGCGCTTACACATATGTTAGTGTTTGGCCGAGCTTCTCCTACGACTTGTGGCGTGCGCCTTGATATTTACGCCGACTCCGAACAGCGATTGTATTTTTTATGAGAAGCTGTTTTTTCATGGCAGAAATATACTCGCTGGTTTGCCATTGCCTGCCGACGGACGACCGCTGTTAAGAAAAAACCTTTTTTCTATATTTTTTGCGATGTTGCTTTGAGTCTCCCAAATAATAACACTAAATTTGAAGGACAAAGACAAAATCGCTCTTCTGCTTTCCAGCGGCTTAACCTTTAACTATGGAGGCGAATTTTTTGGACACAGTCTATGACCTGGTGGTAAATTTTACCCCTTCGAATTTTAGTTAGAAATTTGAATACAAATTGGCCATTTTATAATTATTTTTTCTTTTAAACTAAGCTACTAGATTTTTAAGTTAAAATAAATAAAAAATTTTCTTTTTTCTTTTAAAATCAACAAAAGTACCACTTTATTTCACAAGGCTTTTATTATTCACAAGAACGAAAACGTCACAGTAAACTTATAAAAAAAAAGTGTAAAATAAAAATTAATCTAAAGCTTAAGGGGCATCTTTCCACAGCATAAAATATATATTTACAAGTGAACAAATGTATGGTGTTTTTGAGTTCAATTTGAATTTAATTTAATTTTGGTTAATGAAAAGTATTACAATTTAGAGATTTAATAATAGTTTGATGTAAGATTAAAAGAGATTTAACATACATAAGTTGAATAGGAATGAATGTAAAGAATGAATGAGTGATTTGATATGAAAGTTTATAAAATGAATTTAGGAGTAGATTAAGTTGATACTTAGCAATGAGATGATAGGATGGACAAATGATTATATGTCGTCAGCGTTCCCACGATCTTGGGTACTCAGAAGTTATGATATTGGAAACTAAGTGTTCGATATACGAACGGTTGGATTGGTAATTCGATGCTCCCACGTTGATATTTGATGGCATGGTTGATCACACCGATGTCGCCTGATGTCTGGTAGATGTTGAAAAAAGGGACGTTGGAAATGCGCTTAGCGCATTCATACCCAGCATTGGAAGTTCGAAAATAAAATTCCAAGTAGGGATGCTTTTCTTGAGCATTTACACAGGGATGCGTTGAAGAATAAAGCTGAGCAGGGATGCTTTCTTTAAGTAGGCGCAAGTCACTTAAACAAACAGAGATCATATTAAAAAAATGTACTTGTAAAAAATACAGGTCAACCTTCCTTGAAAGAAAAAGTTGCATAAACGTTGAGGAGTGGTCATTTTTATACCAGCATCAGCATTTCTCCGCCCACGCTACACCTTCCACAGCAAAAACGTAACTATCAATAACGACAACGAAATAAGGAGATACTGAGAGTATCAAGTTGCTGGAGCGCAACATAGGAGAGTAATTCAAAAAAATTTAAAGAGGGGGTAAATTTTACCACCACCTCCACAGTTAAAGGTTAAGTTTAATTAGTCGCAACCAGGACTCATAGGCCGGGCTGGGACTAGAAAATTGAAGTGAAGAAAGAGAAAAGTTTAGAAAAACTTTTTGCACACGTTCAATTCTTTCAATGGAGGATTGGTTGTAAGGACTCCAAATGAACGCAGCATATTCTAGTCTAGAACGAACGAAAGCAGTAAATAATAATTTGAAGGTATAAGGGTCTGAAAAGTTTGAGCTATTTCTTATTATGAAACTTAAGACGGAATACGATTTGGAGATAATAAAGTTTATATGATTTGTAAACGTAAAACGCGAATCGAAAACAACGCCTAGATCTTTGATTTCCTCAAAATGTTGGAAAACATTATCAGATGTGCAATAAGATGTAGGCAACGCATTAACTAATTTAAAGAAGGTGAGCTTAAAGCATTTTTTGGTATTTAAAAATTGGTGATAAATACAGCACCACTTGATTAAATTATAAATATCGGCTTGAAGTCTATGCGAGTCAGCGAAGTTGGTAATGACAGAATATATTTTTAGGTCGTCGGTATATAAAAGAAATTTAGCGAAGGTAAAACAGCTACTAATATCGTTGATGAACAAGACGAAGAGCAGAGGGCCCAAGATCCGGGGTAGCGGATCCCAAGAGCACTCATCCCAGTTAACTTTGATTAAAGAGTTATTCACCCTTGAAAAGTCACACTTTGAGAAATTAAGAGCCATTGTCTCTTCACATTTACTGCCTGTAAATTCATAAAACTTTACGTTGAGGGCCACGGAAACATGATGCTTGTTTGTTGGCAAGATCGGCGAGTAACATTCCGAAATAGTAGCGTTGATATTATCACTAACAAAAACGAGATCTAAAATTCGGTTAAGCTGGTTTTTAAAACAATTCAATTGCACTAAGTTAAGACTTAAAATATTATCAACAAAGTAAGATTCGATCCCTGTATTAACATTCGTTGGTATAAGACCCCATTTTGACGGATTATTAGACCAGATAATATTTGGAAGATTGAAATCACCGTACACACATAGATGATTAGTTGCTAACACATTGTGAACCAAATATGAAATGTTGTCCGTATGAGTTTTATAAAGATGTATGAAGTCAATATATATGTATAAAGAGCCAAATTCAGAAGTACCTTTGATGGAAACACAAATTTGATCTAATATTGGGTCATTGTCGCTGAGCGGGACAACAAATGTATGAAGATAACGCCGAACTGCGATAGGAACACCACCACCGCGAGAAAATCCTGTACTATTGACATCCCGATTTTTCCTAAAAGCGTTGAGTAAGGTCGGATTGAAATATTCACTATCTAAAAAGTTTGCATTTAATCAAGTCTCCACGAAGATTATGACGTCAAAATCCGAAACTGAGCTAAGGATGAGAATTTAATAATGGGTCATTGTCGCTGAGCGAGACAACAAATGTATGAAGATAACGCCGAACTGCGATAAGAACACCACCACCGCAAGAAAATCCTGTACTATTGACATCCCGATCTTTCCGAAAAACGTTGAATAAGCTTGGATTGAAATATTCACTATCTAAAAAGTTTGCATTTAACCTAGTCTCCACGAAGATTATCACGTCAAAATCCGAAACTGAGCTACGGATGAGAACTTCGTTCGACTTTGTACGCAAGCCACCCATATTTTGAATGTTTATCTTCAAATTCTTGAACGCTGGCACGGATATTTTGGAAATGGCTGGGATTGCTCTTTGGGATGCCCTCGTCTTTGAAAAAACTGAAAGGGACGAACTGTAATATTGGTAGGCCAAAGCGCTGGGCCCAAAACCTTGTCATATTGAGATGCAATAACACCCAGTTTAAAATTTATCTTCGTAAGCGAGTCAATGACAGCATCCTTTTTGATGAGCTTAAAGCAAGAAATGCTAATTCTGTCGATTCCAGTATTTTTTTCCACGAAAGAAATTATATTTTCCTCAGACACATTTGGTTTAAAAGAAGACAATTGTAACCATTTTTTCGTATCAGCGAAATCTAATTCAGTACTGATACTGCGCCCAATAACAACGTTGCGTACATTATTTTCGTTTTTCTTCCTCTTCGTGTGCATGGTGACCCACTGTGCTTGTCCACTTGATAACGAACCATTAGCACTGTTTATTTCAGTAGAGCCGGCGGCGGTGGCGGCTGCAGCAGCGTATGTGTCAGCAGAGGCAGCAGCTGCGTGGGAGAGACTACACCCAGGCATACAAGTAGTTGTCGACGTGTGATCCGTAGCAGTTGTTAAAGCTGGGGGAGTAACCATAGCAGAGTTAACAGAGTTAACACTGCGAGCGGAAGGTTGAGATCTCTCGCACGCAGCGTCTATGTTACACTCAGTCATACATGTATCTGACGAAGTATGATGCGTAGCAGTCGTTTAAACTGGGGTAGTAGCGATAACAGAGTTAGCACAGTGAGCGGAAGATTGAGATTTCTCACTCGCGACGATTTTGCAATTCGAGCGAAGATTTTTAACTTCGGTAGTGAGCACATTGATCGACTCCGCGAGCCCACAGTTTACTCTGCAATGAGTGTAACTCGGCTTCAAGGTATTCCGTTTTGCTAATAAGCCGTTTATTATCATCCGCTAATGCAGTGACTAAAGCAAAACACGAACATTCTCAATAATCTCACCAAACAATGATTACAGAGATATTGCTTGCTTAGCGTCAATTTGGTTGAACTTGCTGCCTGAACCTTTACACACTTGTAGAGACGGAGAGGATGAAAATGGCATTTTTAACTGATGATGAGCAGTAGCATTATTGTTGCGTTGTGAGCCTATTTGACTGCTTGAGGTAGCCGTGTTGTTAGACAAAGCAGCAACTACACTGTCCTCTGGAACGACGATAGGTGGTGGCGAACGTATGGAATCACGCCGAGCCCCAGCACAACCATTGCAGTGAAATGGTTTATCAGAATTGAGCAAGAACTCAACATCAGTTGGGTTCATATTTACACAAGCTAGGTGAAACAGGTTATTACACTTAGCACATTGTATTTTATGCTGTGTCCGCTCCACTTTTTGCCCACAAACACACGGCATTATGATATTATGCTCGACAAAATTCAGCGATTTGATTAGAGTCTCTATCTCGGTAACAGCAAGCCACAGTAGTGCACAAGCACATCAACATTTGCACATATGTTGGGCGACGAGAATAATATAAAATACGAATTTTCAACTAGACAGAGAACGCGAACAGAAGGCTTGACTGCCAATGACTGATGAGGTTTTGTTAAAGAATGAACTATATTTTTATAAAAAAATTACCAAAATTAAATAACAAAAAAAATAATACGTTAAAACTTGACAAAAAGTGGTTCGGCTATAATTTTTTGATCACTGTATGTACTTTTTTTATATATATTTAATTGGACATGCACATTGTACATAAAGGAAGTACCCAGCAAAAACTTTGATTCTTTGGTAAGCGCTTAATTTTTGTATCGATGGAGTTACGCATTACAATACGCCACAAGACTAAATTTTTCACTTTCTCGTTTACCCACTGCATTACAAGTGGGGGTCAGAACACCCACAACTACCGTTAGGACTACCGTTAATTTCTTCATTATCCCATGATCAAACCACCTACACCAGTATGGGACCACCTATGAGGTACCACCTTCAAGTTCAAAGTTATGCGGTAACATACATACAAAAATAAGATATAACCAAATATACTGACGAATTGATAGCCCCCTCTGTTTGAAGTAGGTTAAAAATAGAATACAACTTTGTAGGTCCTTCTTTTTATTTAAGTCTAGTTGCTTGTTTGGAGTAAGTCAAAGCAAATCCGTGCGCGTTGACATCGCGAATGACACTGAAATTATTACGCGCAATGCTGGTTCAATAATACATACGACATATTATTACCGAACAAGATTCAAATATTGTCGTATGTGTTAGCTGATCTCTCACATACAACAATTTTTTGTTGCGACTTATAAACACTCAATTTGTATGAAAAAATGTCGTATGTGCCAAACTTTTAAATTATACGACTAAAACGCTTGTGACCTTGCACTTACGATAAAATTATACCATATATTTCGAAATCCAACGGAGATATNCTTACGATAAAATTATACCATATATTTCGAAATCCAAAGGAGATATAAAAAAACTGATAAAGCCATTTGAAAGATCTTGATGAGTTTAGTATAACTGCATTATTAACTCAATTTGGCCCAATTTTCACATACGACAATAATTTTTTCAGGCGGCGATATACGGAGTGTTGCAAAACTATAAATCCACTACAAATATTTGTATAGCAGGCGTAAAAAAAGAGATATGAAAAAAAATTCTTCTATGACTTTTGCGTAATGGGAACTCTCTTTTGATGGGGCTATTTTTTTTTAACCATTACAAAATTTGCAAGAAGTAATACAACCTAAAAAGTACTTGTTGCAAAACTATAAATCCTAATATGATCCTTGTACTAATAAATACACTGTATAAATCTAATATTTTAGTTGTGCTCCATTAACCTTAATCAACTCAAATATGTGCTTACTCATACTTAAGCACAATGTTTTTAGCAAATTAGAGTCCAAGTTATTCCACATTGCCAATTCGAGTGAACTCACGTTTTCAAATTGGCGATTCTCAGCATAAACTCTCCTTCCCAGTATTCCCCACACATTTTCGATTGGGTTCAGGTCAGGAGAGCATGCTGGCCATCCTAGGGTTCGAATATTGTTGCTCTTTAACCAATGCTTTGTCTCTTTGCTCGTATGGATTGCAGCATTGTCTTGCGGAAAAGTTCAATTTCTTCCATTTTTGTCAATGAAAGGCTTGAGACTACTCAGCAAAATGGCAACGTAGTCTGAACTCTTCATTTTGTTGGAGCAGAATTGCAGCTCGAGTACACCACCGGATGTTATAGCACCCCATACCATCACATTTCCGCCTCCAAAATTTCGTCGGGGAAAAACTCGACGTTCTTTACGTAAGTCATGCCAATATCCACTTAATCCGTCCGGGCCGTCCAGATTGAACTTTTTTTCATCTGAAAAGATAAGAAAAGATATACATACATAGTAATTTCTTAATTAGTATCCACGTTTAATTTACTTACAGAAGACCAATCAGTTGCCATATTTTTACTAGCGAATTCCATACGAGCGACTTTGTGGCGTGGCAAAAGACATGGAGCTGGTACCATTCTACCGTACTCGAGGTGCTTAGTGCGTTTTAAAGCCCTCCAAATTGTTTGCCGATTTACGGGAACTGAACATTTTGTTGCTAGCTTCTGGCAACTAATAGTTGAATTACTAGCGACACGTGCAATTATTCTTTCATCGCGACTGGTCAATTTTCTTTTCCGCCCGCCTGCCTTTTTGATCCCGTATTCATCTTATTTTCGTAAAAAACAAGAAACCAGCCCGTGGGATCTTCCAATCTTCGAAGCAATATCGCGTATACCGAAACCTTGCTCAACTAGAACCGTAATTCGACCCTTTTCAAATTCGTTCAATGGTTTACCGCGAGGCATATCGACGAGAATATTCATTAGTAAGCAATCAAAAATAAGTAATGACATTTACCGCAAAACTACTGAAAAAAAGCGACATAATTGTTTTGGATTTATAGTTTTGCAACAAGTACGTTTTAGGTTATATTACTTCTTGCAAATTTTGTAATGGTAAAAAAAAATAAATCACCCCATCAAAAGGGAGTTCCCATTACGCAAAGGTCATAGAAGAATTTTGTTTCATATCTCTTTTTTACGCCTGCAACACAAATATTTGTCGTGGATTTATAGTTTTGCAACGGAGTGTATGTATGTAGGTATGCAATTTGTGAGCAAAACAAAAAAAATATCATTGTACTTGTTTATTTTTGAATCCTAAATTCACGACTTTAAATCGATGTAAAAAGGAAATGGGAACCAACTTTTCCACATACTTTGGTATTTATTCATATTTTGACATCATTTAACGAATGCAATTGGTCTCATGCCCATAACTTTTGAGTGTTGCACTGTGTAATTAAAGCTGATGTCGGATAAAATTTTGTGGCTTCGCGTGACATTAATAACTTTGCCAACAAAGCGCCAGACGCAAAAGGTATGCCACAATGAACGCCAAGAAAACAATTTTGTACTGCTTTTTACTCGTCAAAATGGCTGTGGATTTTCAGCTTTAAAACTATCAGCAATATAATTAAATTTTATGTTTCTGCATGAAAACTCGAATTTGGACGACTGATTGTCAATGCGCGCAAAAATATGGGAGCTGGCCATCTTTTCGCTTCGCGCTGCAGCTGCAACGATCTATGTGGCATGCTTTGTGCATTTTCACACAATTCACCTTATCTGTCAAACCGAATCTGTCACGCAAAGCGAGCAAGCGTTTTATCTGGCGTCAGCTTAAGGTCGGTCCACACAGAACTTTCGCATTGGCTTTGGCGTTGGCGTTGGTTTGACTGAACGCACGTTAAAATGTATGCTTGCTGCAATGAAGCTTGGCAGCGAATGCTTTGGCCACTAAATTAACATATTAACGACAGACAAATTAATATTTCATACCAATTATTGCGTGAAAAACGATATTTCTTGCCCTCATTTGATTAAAAAGGTAAAATATTTCACATAATTTTATTTTTTTTTTCAACAGCTGACGACCGACGCACGCGAAAAGTTGAGAGTTCTTTTTGCTTTGTTTTGGCGTTAGCGTTGCCAAATTTTGGCGGTGTGGACGACTGCATTGAAATTCAACGCCAACGCAACGCCAAAGTTGTATGTGGACCGGCCTTTATTCTTTGTTTACTCAAATTTTCTCATATCTACATATACATACATATGTGAGGCATTCTTTTTCATATCGGACACCAAATTTAGTGTCACACTTTCGATTCGATTAAATTTTTTATGGGTTCTATATATGAAATAAGCTAACACGTATTCGAGGAAATTTTTTTTAAATTTTTTTTCTTCGGTGATATGTTTTGTCAAAGTTTGGATTTTTTGGTGATTCTGAGTAATCATGTAATTCTTCAAATCGTTATATGCCAAGTTCTGATCATCGTAGAGACTTGCAGGTATAATATTTGTATGGCAAGATTTTTCTTTAAGGTGACAAACCCCTGGAAATGGGCGGGGCAATTGTATTACTAAAGTTAGCAAATCGCAGATTTTATTGCGGATTTCGGCAGAATATCGCTGCGGTAACAACGTTTGTTCCACGCCTTTTTAATCAAATAATATTCTAGAAATGGGCGTGGCTATATTAAGACCAAAGGTCATAAATTTAGACTTTTTTGTGGCTTTCGCCAGAATGTCTATATGGATTGAAAAAGTAGTGGAACAAATGTTGTTAGCGAAGCGATAATGCGCCTAAATCTGCAATAAAATCTGTGTTTTGCTTACTTTAGTCCTGCAATTGCCACGCCCATTTCTAGGAGTTTGTCACCTTACAGAAAAATCTTACCGGACAAATATTATTTCTGGATAGGTATTCTATCGGAATCCGCAAAAAAATTTTACTTTTTGCAAAAACCCGATGTTTAACACCTTACTAAATATATCTCAACATAAGTTTTTGAAAAAAAAATTTAAAAAAATTGTTGATTCTGACAAAATATACCATCTCGTCATAAAGAAAAATATTTTCAAAATAGTTCTTGAAAAAGGCCAATTTTTTGAACCACGTTTTTTATAGAGAATTAAGCATGGATTACGATGGTGTAATTTTAAGTCCCTAATTAACTGGTCTTCGCTATGGAAATCAACTTCAAAAAGTACAACTGTTTATAGCTAAGGACAATAATGACCATTTTATATATATTTATAATAAGGTATATATATATTTATAATAAGCTTTATAACGACGTCGGCCGCTGTGGTGTAGTGGTAAGCAGTGCGCGCTTTCACTCATCAGCACCTGCGTTCAAACCCTGGTCAAAGCAACATCGCAAAAAATATAGAAAAAGGATTTTTCTTATCAGCGGTGGTCCCTCGGCAGGCAATGGCAAACCTCCGAGTGTATTTCTGCCATGAAAAACAGCTTCTCATAAAAATACAATCGCCGTTCGGAGTCAGCGTAAAACGGTAGGTCCATCCGCTTTGTGTGACAACATCAAGGCGCACGCCACAAGTCGGAGGAGAAGCTCGGCCAAACACTAACATATGTGTAAGCGCCAATCTATTATTATTATTATTTATAACGACGTTAAGATTAAGTCTCTACGATGAGCAGAACCCGAGATATAACGATTTGAAGAATGACATGATTAGTCAGAATGACGAAAAAATCCAAACTTTGACAGATCATATCTCCGAAGAATAAAAAAATTCCCTCGGATACTTATAGTAATAATAATAATAATAATCCCAACGGTTTTTACCCTCCATTCCCACCCATCCGCACGAGGGGCGCAGTCCGCATGACGAACGGAACCAATATTTTCAATTTTTGCGCCGAGTCACGGTAGGCAGGAGTTTGTTAAGTGTCGGGATCTAAAACTGTTCAGCTACAGAATTAAATTCATCAGCTGATTTTATGTCTTTATGTTAATAATTCATTTATTGGGAGAGGATAGTATCGCTTTCTTAATGATAAAAAGCGAATGAGATATATCAAATGTGCTGGAATGAGAGTTAAAATCCTGGCATAAGCAACGGAGTGGGTCATGTAATTCAAAATTAGTTATACAAGTTTTAAAAAATAGGGGATAAAAGAGTCTTGATACACAGGAGGGAACATTAAGGCTAACTTCACCTAGAAGAAGCGAACTTGAAATTGAGAATGTCAGTAATTTAACCATAAAAATTGTACCAAGCATTTCCCTGCGACTGACAAGCGTAGGACGATTTATAAGTTTTAATCGGCTCGTATAAGGCTTAAAGTAAAAAGTAGGAATTGTTTTTGAATTGATTCTATCTTGTCTGAGTAAATTTGATACCTTGGATTTCAAACCACCGAACCGTATTCCAGAATCGGTCTAACTAATGTAAACAGGGTTTTAGTGATATAAGGGTCACTAAATTCTTTTGACCATCGTTTCACAAATGCAAGTACACCTTTAGCCTTGTTGACTGTCACATTAATGTGAAGATTAAAATTAAGTTTAGGATCCGTTGTGATACCAAGTTCCACAAACTTGTATACCTGTTCCAAATTATGGTTATCTATTGTATAAGAAAGAAGTGGCGGAACAGCTCGTCGCGAGAAGCACATTACTTTACATTTTTCAAGATTTAGAGGCCTACGATTTACATAGCACCAGTTAGCCATGCTGTTTAAGTCTGCTTGTAGCAAATGCTTTTCTTTAGCTGATACCAAGGTACATTGAACAGGTAGTATCAGCTGATTTGATTTATTTTCAAATTATTTGGTCTCGAAAATGTCAAATATTTTTAAGTTTTTCTCACAAAAATTCTGAATTGTTAAAATCCATTTGCATGTGAATCCTTTTTCCATACAAAACAAGCGATTGAATAGCAGCTTTTGGAACGTTCGCCCAACTCGGCAGCACGACCGCTGATTACTGGGCCTTGCAAAGGATGGATCAATGCTTCGAGAAGCAAACAAATTTACTAGGAAAGAAAGTTGCATAAATTTTTATTTTTTCCCATTTTTTTTTATTTTTATAATTTTTTGTATTTCACATGGCACGCTTTGATTTAGAAGAAAAAATTCAGAACAGTTTTTGACACTTTCGATACCAGAAGCAACAACAAAATACACGCAAATGTTGTTTTTGCTCTACTGATACTACCTGTTTAATGTGCCTTGGCTGATACATACGATTTATAAAGTTTCACATCATCTGCGTACATTAAAATTTTTGAAAATTT